ATATAACGTATCATGCTAGCATATAACATATCAGGTAGTAGCAACCTAGATGATATCACAATGACAATCATCTATCATACGTCTCCTACTGGTGGGCCGGCATTGTGGCCTTAGACCCACCACTACTGGAAGGTAACTCACCTCAAAGTAGCTGCTGAACTGATTGGGAACTGACTGACTGCTGCTGCTGCTCCGGAAATCCTCCGGCTGCAATTCCCACAACATACTCAATCAAACACTGCCAACTGACCTTTGGGTAAAATGACCATTTTACCCCAGGTCTAGCCCTAAGTCAAAGTCAGTGTCAACTTTCAGTTGACCCGACTCGCCGAGTCCCTATCCAGACGATTGTCCTGAGTCCCTGATTCTACTCGTCGAGTTAGGCTATGACTCGACGAGTTCTTCTTCTAAACTGACATTGAAGTTCTTCGTCCTACTCGCCGAGTTGTATGAACAAACTCGTCGAGTTCATCTTCATCCGATGAACACTCATGCTTAGACTCACCGAGTTGTATGAACAAACTCGTCGAGTCTATTCTTGATCTATAAAGATTGCCTTGGACTCGCCGAGTCCTACCATGGGTGAGTTCAGCTTCCAACTCACCGAGTCACACCCTGTGACTCACTGCTCAAACTCAATACATCATAAAGGGACAAATTCGGTGACTCGCGAGCAGACTCGCCGAGTCACATGAACGACTCGCCGAGTCGTCGCCATGCATCCATTAAATACACCGATTTGTTCGATTTCAGTCCATGCAATTCATAGATCTGGGCTTCTAGGACACGAATCACACGTAAAGTTTCGAACTTTACGTGTAGATATTCACCAATATGGATTTTAGGGTTCAAAATGCCTCAACAGGGTAGATCTAGGATGAACAAGCCACATGGGTCCATAAAGCTAACAGATCTGAGCTCCTGGAGCTCAATCTTGCCTAGATCTAGAGGCCAATCAACTTATTACGAAACATTATGCACATACTAGCTTGGGGAATGGCTCAAGAATGTCTTAAATGAAACCTTAAGCATAGAAACAGGGGGAAAATGGGATATACCTCAATGAAACTGCTGAAAAACACAATGATGCTTGGATGGCTATCCTTCCTCTTGATCTTCTTCCCCTTCTTGCCTCAAAGCCTTCAAGAACACACAATAGCCTCAAACTCTCAAGGAACAAGCTTAGAACGAGGGTTGGGAGCTCTGGGGGTGAATGGGGGTTGGCAAGGGGCGGATATGAGGTTTAACTAGGGTGCAAACCCCTGAAACTTAGGGTTTCATCCAACAGCGGTGACTCGCCGAGTCCAGGATATGGATTCGCCGAGTCGCCAACTTAAACGTGTCCTGGGTCTCGTCCTTACTCGGCGAGTCGGACCTATGACTCGCCGATTCCAAGGCTAAAAATGGAAAATACTCAAATAAGATTTACATACCAGGAACCAGGCGCTACACTTTATTAATATCTAAGTTATCAACCTAGATTGAACATGAACCATAGGTATATTACATCTTACAACACAATACATGTATAGGAATCAAAATCGGAAATGTATTTATGTTATTGAATTTTATTATTAATCTTGTTTGTTTATGAAGTTTAATTTGAATTCAAATATAACCCTCATCTTAATATTGATTGTATAATGTGTGAAAATATGGCTAAATAAGAAGCCTCGTATTCCTGTGGACTGACCCTGCTTACTCTATACTATCTTTAGTGTAACTAGCAGCAGTGATTTGTATTTTATTATTATTATTATTATTTTATCCCATTATTTGTTGGTTTAACCACCAAACAACCAACTTTTTGTTTCGTATCATGATTCATCTATTTTTCATGTTGTTGTTTATGGTATTCTTGATAGTTTTCAAGATTAAAATATAAATGAAATATTTGAATTTGTTTTTTAAACAACGAGAAAAGATGTCATATCTAATTACTTAATTACTGGTAAAATACATACCAAAAGCTATTTACAAAATGTTCGAAGATTATAGCACATAAAAAACAACAGTTTAAGCTGGCTTTGTATCTTAGATCGCTTGGGGTTCAAAAGTTGTCTTTTTGTTTCAATTTTAAAACAAGCTAAGATGGCAAATCAAATTTGACTGTTGGTATTCACCTACTACAATCTTTGACATCTTGTAAATATATTTTGATATGCATTTTATTAAAAAAAAATCAGACATCAAAATTATTATGCATTTTTCCAATAAAAACCGGACATGCCAGGCCAACTTAGACTGCTCGTCTTCACTGTTTGATCTTCACCTGATACAATTTCATAATCCTTAAACCATAATCTCTAAGCCTTAAGTCCTAAACTATAAAACCTAAGCTCGTAATCCTTTAGCCATAAACCATAAGCTATAAGACCTAAGCCTTATGTTATAAGCAATAACCTATATGCCATAACTCATAAACCATATGCCATAAGTCATAATACATAAACCATAAGTCTTTATCCTTAAGCCCTAAAACCTAAGTCATAATTCATAAGCCAAAAAACAAAACGCCTTAAGCCATAAGTCGAAATTCCTAATCCCAAGACATAAACCATAAGCCATAAGACATAATCCATAAGTTATAAGTCATAAGCTTTAAATCCTAAGATCTAACCATGAGGAGTCTAATGTATCAAGTGAATGTAGATTGCTTTCTAAGATACAAAACCAACTTAGACCATCGTTATTCAGATATATCTTGAGCATCCTTCATATAAACTTTGATATGTATTTTACCAACAAGAATTGGACATGAAACTCTTTATTTTGTTAAAAAAAAAATCAAATGTTTCTTTTAGATTTTAATGACAACAATTAAAAAATTGAGGATTCTGAGCCAAAGCAAAAAAGTTTGTTAAATATGAGAATTATTTCGAAAATAAATCAAGGGCTTTTTTTTTTGAATAAAAATAAGGTTTTTTTTTTTTTTTTTTTTTAATAAAAAAAGAACTTATGTAACACCGAAAGATTTATGATAAACCTTCTAAAAGGGTCGAATTGAAAATATATAAAGACTTTTTGAAAAAAAAAAATGAGGTTTAATTTGTAAAAATTTCGATATATAGGGTGTTTTATGTAGTTAAGGATTTGTAATAAAGAAATGTTTTAGAAGTTTGCAAGTGCTTATAATTGACATGCAACTGAAATTGCTGCGAAATGCAACTCAAATTCGTCAGAAATGCAAACCCAAATTAAAAAACAATCCTTACGCTACAACCGCAAAAAACGTCCCCAAACTTTAATCCACTCCCCAATAATTCCCCACCCTCCTTCACTATCAGATCCGATCAGTTCCTCCAATTATCCGTCGCCGTCGCCGCCGCCGCCACCATATATCCTTCCCTCCGCCACAACACACAAAGCCCTACCAGATCCGCGTCAAACCATCTCCGATAGATCTACCGAATCTAGTTGGTCGGAAACACGCCTGAAGATCGGAAAACACCGTACGTTTCGGTTTCCGGCCACCGGCGACGATTAACTTTTCCTTTCTCCGATCTTCACAAATTAGGGTTTTTGTAAAAACGGTACCTCTTTATTATTAATACAATAATTTTTTCTATATTATTTGATATTGCTGTTTTTTTTTTTAATTATTGTTTATGGTATTTTTACTTTTTAAAGCTAGTTTTCCTATATATTTAAAAAAATAAACACAGCTGTTTATTTACATATAAAGATTTACTTTTATTTTTTGTTAATAAAATAATTACTTCTGGTTTTTACACAAATTACGTTATGATTTTTTGTTAAACTTGAATTTTTGTGAAAAATAACAAAAAAAATTATACGTTTTACTCCGTTTGACATCATAATGTGCTATTTTTTTTAATGGAAACCAGCAAAAACCATCAACATCAACTCACATGTACAATCTCGAACAAATTTATTTTGATTTTCTGAAAACGTAAATGACTGTAACTTCGTTTCTTTATATATTCACAAAAAGTAGACTTTTAAAAAAAATAATTGAACTGGTAATTTTTCTTGATATTTTAAAGATTGTTAAATAGTTTGTCAGTTTTTTGTATGGACAATTTATATGTAAAAAGGGTATATTTTTAATGCATTTCTATTTTTGGAAGCATTTTTCATAGTAACATTTTTGTCTTTTTTTTTTTAACAAAGTGGTTCAGTAAAAATGATATTTTTTAAAAAATACGTACTATAAAAATAATGCGGAAAACAGTTTCCTCTTAAAAGGTAAAATAAAATATAAAATTATATTTGAAGAGGTGAGTAATTTTTAACACCCCAACGCCCTTTTACCTTTTTCTAGCTGCACTGCAATCACCAAGGCTATTTTGGTAATTTCAAAGCAAGAAGGTCGGTTATCTTTTTTAATGCAATTACGTTCATACCCTTTGACACGCGCTTGTATTACATCCCACGTGCCAAAGCGCGTGGCAACTTATATTTTTAACCAGTCCACGTCATTATATGTGATTGAGAGTGGAACTGGTGTGTGGGCCCCATTCTGTCAAACATAAAAAAGAAAGCTAAATTAAAGCGCTTAAAACTCACGATATTTTGATCAAGGGTTCAGATATTGCCACGCGGCAAACAGATGGGATCTGAGCCGTGGATTACAGGTGTGACGGGCAGGGTGCCCAGACAGCAAGTAAATCCAGATTGTCCGTTGGATCAGCGGTCAGAAAGCAATCCACGGCGGATAAACTGCCCGTCGTTACGCCGGTCAGATCTTATCGCCTTTAAGAACCAACCCCAACCCCTTCAATCTTCGCTCAGTCTCAAACCCTAGAAGGTCATCACCTCCATAAATATATATACGAATTATTATATATATCTTTTTTCGTCTTTTCTCCGGTCGTTAATAGTAGATCGCCGGCCGCCGGCGTTATATTGTGCACATCGTCGCCGGTTCGTTTTCTGTGTGGGGACTGATACATGTTTTCGTTCACGCCTGTCTGGCTTTCAAATCGAGATAGATCCGGATCTCGACGGGGCAAATACGTTGCCGTCGTTGTCAGTTCATGGCGTCGACGGTGTTAGCGAGTAGGAATCAGACGAGCTACGGACATCAATCATTCATGGGGGAAATCCCTAATTATTCCAATAATAATCCTCGTCATCTGAACCCTAACCTTAACCCTAACCCTAACCAAAAACCCAAATCTAACAAGAAGAAGCATTTCCCCAACGCCGCTATTAACGGCAGGCCACACAACCACAATTCTCATCCTGTTGATTCTTGCGCCGTGGTTGTGAGTCAAGCCGCGTCGGATGACGCGTATTCGTTCAACCAAAGGCCGATTGAGACAAGCGGGGGTGCCGGATACGGAAATAGTTTCAACCATGGGGGATATGTAAGCTACAACGTTTCTGCGTGTTCTAAAAGAGAAATTAATGAGCTACGGAAGAAATTGGTTGCGGATCTTGAGAGAATCCGGAATCTAAATGATCGGATTCACGCTGGCGAATTAAACCCTAGATCAACCAACGGAAAATTCAAGAAATTGTCGGGAAATAAACGGCAGCCATCTACGATGCCGTTTGGATCTAGCAACAAAGAGCCGAAACATTTCCGTCAAGGTTTGGTAAACGGCAGTGCAGGAGGAGGTGAAGCGGACGAGAATTTGTTAAAGATGTGCAGACAGGTTTTGACGAAGTTGATGAAGCACAAGCTTAGCTGGGTCTTCAACAAACCGGTGGACGCTGCTGCTCTAGGGCTTCACGATTATCATCAAATTATCAAGCGTCCGATGGATTTAGGCACGGTTAAATCGAATTTATCAAGGGGTTTATACGCATCTCCGTTGGATTTCGCCTCTGATGTGAGACTGGTCTTCGAAAACGCGATGCTTTATAACCCTAGAACAGATGAAGTTCACGGAATGGCGGATCAACTGCTCACGCATTTTGAAGAGTTATTTAGACCAATCCAGGCGAAATTGGCAACCCATCACGCTGTGAATGAGTTTTCAGCCGTTGATGAATTAGATGGTAGTTCTTGGGACGACATTCAAACCCCTGAAAGATCAAAGAAGATGAAAACCGCAGCTCCAGTAGCTCCTTCCATTTCAAACAAACAAAACCACTCAACCGCTTCGAACCCAATAATCCCACCCGTTGTCCAGTCTCCCGTACGTTCTCCATCTCCATTGCCAATGCAGCCTGTAGAACCAGTGAAACCGCTATCCACATCAACAAGATCAGCCATCGGAAAGCTACCAAAGCCCAGAGCTAAAGATCCAAATAAACGAGAAATGAACATGGAAGAGAAGCAGAAACTAGGGTTAGGCTTGCAAAGTATGCCTCAAGAGAAGATGCCACAGTTAGTCCAGATTATTAGAAAAAGAAACGATCATTTAGCACACGAAGGTGATGAAATCGAGCTAGACATTGAAGCTCTCGACACTGAAACACTTTGGGAGCTTGATCGGTTCGTGACAAACTGGAAGAAACTCGTGAGCAAGACAAAGAGACAAGCTTTGTTGGTGAACACCACCTCAGCGGCAGGGGCTAGCGTCTCAGCTGACATTGACGATGTAAGCATTCTTCCACATTTTTCTTAACTTTCCTTTTTCTTTTCTCTGTGGTGTTTGTTCTCAACCGGTTGTGGTGGTTGATTCAGGCTCCGGTAATGGAGAAAATGGATGGAATGAAGAAGAGCAAGAAGGAAGCTGGAGAAGAGGATGTTGATATAGGTGATGAGATGCCGGAGAGCAGTTTCCCACATGTGGAGATTGAAAAAGACGATGGTGGTGGACAAGGTCAAGGTACAGGAGGAGGAGGACATGGGAATAATGAGAATGGAAGTAGCAGTTCGAGTAGCTCAAGCAGCTCAAGTAGTGATTCATCTTCCTCCAGTGGTATTGAATCTTGTCTTTCGTTCATTTGTGAGCAAAGAGGAGGTTTTTATTGGGAGAGATGAGTTAGTTGCTTATCAGATTGAATTTTAATTTGTTTACAGATTCAGACTCAGGGAGTTCTTCTGGGAGTGATTCGGATGCAGATGATGCACAATCTTGACATGAAACGATGAAATGAATGTAATGTGATTTGAATCAAGAAAACCGCGATTGCAGAATCATCTTTAAATCAAGGGAATGGAAAGGGGAAGTCTTGAGAGATATTGAGAAGTGAAAAAGCTCGGATGGATGTAATTAGCGAGAGAAGACCCGTTGTAATTGGGTTGATTTTTTAGGTATGAAGGTGAAATTTAGATCCTTTTGTTAATGGTTTTTGAGGGTGTTTTCTGACATTTTATATAAATAGGGAGGTGAAAAACTGAAAATGGAGGTGAAGGTAGAAGAAGAAGAGAAGGAAGATAGTTAAGTTGAGTTGAGTTGAGTTAAGGGAGAGATATGATATGAGATATGATGATGGTCTTGTGTGTACATATGACCAAAACAAGGCAAAAATTAGTGTAGTAAATCCATGAATGATTTTATTGGAAAATTCTAATTGTTGTTCAATGTTTATATTGTTGTTAAATGTCTACTTCTATTTGCTAAAAGTAAAATGGAAATGGAAATGGAAATGAAGTGTTTTTGATTTTTTGATGAACTTAAAAGGCATGTTCTTCTAGAAGGTGTAGCATGTGAAATGGCAGATGATTGGGAAGGTACAAAACATGCGTCCAAGTTTCAACGGCACCGTCAATGACATTTTTTAGGAAAAAAGGGTTTTGTCAAAACTGTATATATTTAATTTTGCTTTAATGAATAAATATGAAACAAGATAGACATATAAAACATAAATTTAAAACGTTTCTAGATACGTGAAAGTGGTGTAAATTACAACATTTAAATATGTAAATATTTGATTTTTTGTCAATAAGCTTAAAATGGATTGTAATTGGTGTTTTGGAGTGGAGGCGAACGAGAAATGAGATTCTTAGGTAGGTTAATTGTTAATTACCTCTTTGAAGTTTGACCTTGAACTGGTCAAGAAGGGTTGACTCATGGTAGGTGTAGTTATTCTCAAACACTATACTTATGAACTTTTATTGTTTTTAAATAAATACCACCAAAAAGCTCACCTTGGATTTTATTTTATTAAAAAATATACAAAATGAAAAACTGTCACCTTTACCACTAACCAAGAAATCAGGAGATATTGGAGAAGTGCACAATACAAACACATGAATCCGAGCTATGAGGAAAGGAAAATAACACACATGTTTATGGTACATTTTTAAGTAATTTTTAATATTATTTACCATTTGAACTTTCATTTCTTATCCAAAAACTAAAATTTAGACCTGTAATAATCTACATATTCTGTTACATTGCTAATTTGTAAATTAAAATCCTTACATAGATACTTCATTTCATCATGCACTAGTAAAAATCATGGATAATGACCTCAACTCATCTCTTAGTAAGTTCTTAACCGTTGATGTTCACACTACAAAGGCACATTTGTACCTACGCTTCTAGTGTATTTCGACCATGTTAAAGCTTCAATAAGAGATTTGTATTTTAGTTGTGTAGGCTTCACAAACTTTGTCTCATTTCTTGAAAAGTTGGCTAAAGAGAAATGAAAAGATGTTTACTATTGTCTAAACTTTGGCTGATGGTTTAAAAAGTATGAAAATTGATGATTATAATGAATTTCTGTAAAAACATTATGCTAATGATAGTAGGATTAGTGTATATGTAGACCACTTAAATGAACCTATACTTTGTTGGTTTATCAATTTTGATCCAAACGAATTCAAAGGCAGTTTCAATCCCAGGAGTATTTTAGGAAACTTTTCATTGATGCAAATGTTGTGTTAGATTAAGATACTATTTTTATTAGTATAAATAAGGGTAAAGTTTAGGATGTTTTAATTCATATTTCCAACAATAAAATCCTTGATTAGCAAGTAATATCATAGTTTTTTTTTGTTATTCGTGTTATTTCTCTGTTTATCTTGTTTCTCCTCTATTTTTTCTAACTGGTTGCACATTTTTTCTTGGGCATAAACGTATTACCGTGTCGATATCTTACACTTGGTATCAAAGTGGTTATGTTAAGAGGGTGTGAGTTGGTTTTGATCGCAAGTTAAAGCATCTCAACAGCAACCCCAATTTCTCTTGATCAAACGTGTTCTAACGATAGCAAGTTTTGGTTTTAACCCCAACGAATTGTTCGGTGAGGGAAGTCAAAGTCAATTCGATTATGTATTCACACAACATGTGGGAGACGGTCGAATCAAAGGCGTTCGATGAAAAATCAGATCGAAGTGTCTCAAAAAAATGAAGAAAATGGATACATTCTAAGTCATCTAGTATCACACGAGGAGCGTTTCAAAGGAAAGAAGAAAATTGATACATTCAAGGTGGGTTTGGATACATTCAAGGTGGGTTATTGTTGGTTAGTGAAGAAACATTACATGCATGTAATCATTATGGCAAATATATGTTCAAATCTAGATGACTTTGGATGTGGTCGGGGAAGAGGTCTTGGGTCCAGGAAGAATCAAGATGGTAATGAATGTGCCCGAGATAAAAGTGATGGGTTTTATACATAACAAACAATCTTATGTGTGCATGCAACCCTAATTGTTGGATCTATGTTTTTCTCTATTAGACGTACAAGCATTAAACACAAATCTAGAAGCCCTAGGAAGCATGTACTAATTTCAAAATTGACATATACTAGGGTTTAGATACATACCTTGATTGTTATATAACAATAACAATGAAACCTTGATGATCTTGAACTCTTGAGAGCAAGTACCTCAAATGTGACACCTCTAATGGCTTACAAACACTCTATGCAAGAGGATGAGAGGAGAGAGGAAAAGGAAGCACTAGAATTCATACATACTAGGGTTTGGAAGCATGTGGCTGAAATTGTGAGGGGTGAGGCTCCTTTTATAGCTGAGTTTGCTTAGTCCCAAAGCTAGGGTTTGCTGGAGGAAACCCTAATTTCCAGCTTAGGGCCTAAGCAGCCCATGGACTCCTTATCTAAGTGCCTTGGAGGAAAACTTATAGGGCCTCCCTATAATTTTCGTTCACTCCTTTCTAAGGGGTCCAATAGCCCAATTTTACAACTATCAATAAATTACAAAACAACCCCTACACTTTTAATTAATTCCTTTAATCCCAAAATTAATTCCAAATTAATTTCTTATTAAATATTAATTAAATAACATGATTTCTAATTGATATATTATTCTCATAATATATTAATAAATCATTTATATCAACCAAAATAATAAATTCAACCTCCCTCTCCAAAAATCATCCTGTTAAGTTGCTAGAGTGAAGGCAACCCAAAAAGATTGTGCTACTATCAATTCAAGTATATACCAATTATAGTTATGGGCTTAGACACCTAATCCAACAGTCTCCCACTTGGATAAGTCTAATAACTATAATTGCAAGTATAACTTCAAAAATTGACCAACACATAGTAGCTCTCAAAAGCCGATGTCGAACTCTGACCTAGTCAGTTACATGTCCTAAGATAAGGGATCATATAATCCTTCGCTTTACAAGATATCATGTGGAAAAATGACATGGAACAGAATCATTCTCATTGTCCAACAGTTTGTTTCCCATTTCTGATTTGTAATGACAAAGAACTTAATTAAGCACATCAATTCAGTCCTGATCGGGCCCATCACATAAGTCAATACCAAATCATCGAGGGGCCCAAGATATCGCTTTTTCCCATTAGGGTTAAAAGAGCAAATAAACTTTGGCTTATATGCTTATACTATTTACTCATCAAATCGTACACAACAATACGTTTTATAACATCAAGTTACTAATGCATTTACGCATTATCAATGTACAACCAACTCATAAACAACTCATATATCTCGGTTTAAAGATTATACGATTTTATCTTCTCAGAATTACTCGTGATAAATTCCATGAAGTAATTCACCGAGTGTGGGTTGATCCAATACTTAAATCCATATTTCAAAAGTACTCGTGAATGTTTTAGCAAGCCATTACTATGTCTAATCCCTTAGACAATCTACAATCCAATTCATGAGACTCTTAATTCACTGCTTACTTCCAAAGTATGGTCGAATGTGGATGTTTTGAATAATCCAATTATTCGGGAAGTAAAACATGCAAAGTTGAAACACAATGATAGACAATTGACAAAAGATAGTAAACAATACTTATAAATAATTCTCCATTATTTAATCATCAAATGTCAATTACATTTAATTGTTTTCTTAAAAATCTATCTAATAACTAAAACTAATATCATCATTCAGCCTAATGCTCATCGCATGCTGAACGTGCTTAATCCTAATCAGACCCTTTGTGAGGGCATCTGCAAGATTCTCTTCAGATGATACCCTCTTTACTGTAACGCCCCGATTCTCAGGTATGGATTTAAGTAAGAATCTCTTTGGTTTAAGTTCTACTCGACGAGTTAAGGGTGCGTTACTCGTCGAGTAGCAGCGAGGGGGGTCGCATATTTCGTGACCTACTCACCGAGACCATAAAGGGACTCGATGAGTAGGAGCTGGCAGAAGAAGCCCTAAGTCCTGGGTTCTGCCTTCTATTTAAGGAGGCATAAGCCTCATTTGGCCTCCTTACAGTCAGTAAGAGTTCATAGAAAACCCTAACCATGTATTGTGTCTTTCTTGTGCTTGTGAGCTTGGAAGGAGGGCTTGTGGGAGGAAGAACTTGGAGAACAAGGGGATAGGAGCAAGGAAGGAGTGGGAAATCAAAAATCTTCCTTAGTTAGCACCCATTGAAGGTATCAAGTCGACATCTTTATCTTTTTTCCCTTCTAGATCTCATATGGTGGAAATCTAGGGTTGTATGGTTTGAGTAAGGTGATATGGCAAGACATGAGCTAGATTCGAAGTTGTAACTTTAGATTTGGACCTTTCCCAAGTTCTAGATTCATAAAGTTCTTATCTTGGTCGTGAATGAGCCCCCCCCTGTGCATGAAACCCATTAAGAGCTTAGTTTTGGCATTAAGGACCTTTTTTAGCCATGCATGCATGTAAAGTTTACAATTTTACGTGAAAGGCATGCCCTAGAATCTTGGATCTGTAATTTGGAGCCTGTGCATGGCTTAAAATGTGTCTGTATACCTTAAGGACTGAAGGAACTCGGCGAGTCGCAAGGGCAACTTGGTGAGTCAGATAAAGATAGCCATGGGCTCGACGAGTTGGATGAACAACTCGGCGAGTCCGATGAAGATTGCCATAGACTCGACGAGTTGCATGAACAACTCAGCGAGTCAGATGAGTTTTCCGCAAGATAGGAATGCATGTGTATCAATGTGTTACTAGAAGGAAACTCGACGGGTGGCCATAAGGCCTCAATCGAGAATCGTGGGAACTCGACGAGGCGAGTGGGTAAGGATTTCAAGGAACTCGACGAGTAGCCGAGGGTACTCGACGAGTTAAGGTCAACATGGACTGTTGACCTTGACTTTGACCAGTGTTAGGTATTTGGGTTATGAAGTACTCTGTGAGGATGAAGACTTATGATCATGTTTGTAATGTGGTAATAGGTGGTGGAGCCTTTGACGAGTGATCAGAGAGTTGTGATTTATTTACCGAGCTGACATCTACGAGGTGAGTTATCCTCACTATACTAAGGGGTATAAGGCACCAAGGCCAGCCCATTGGATGTATTATCCTAACAGTGTTAGATGTTGATCATGAGTTAGTGTTGCATGCTAGTGGTGTATGCCAGTTGATATGCTAGTTTGGTAGGTCTGCAGGATTACCTGTGATATTGTCTGATTTCCTGTATGTGTATTTATCTATTACATGTCGACATGTTATGTGGGATGGGTTGAGGTTGTACTGCTCTGTGCGGTAGCCAACAAACCCTAGAGTATTCCAGATATGAGTTGAGGGCCCGATAGGCATTCCAGACTCATACTGAGGACTCGGGAGCATTCCAGATACGAGCTGAGGGCCCGATAGGCATTCCAGACTCGTACTGAGGGCTCGATGGCATTCCAGATACG